TTTTTTAAAACACTGCGGGACGTGGGACAAATTGTTAAAAAGTGGGACTGTCTCGCCAAAAGCGGGACGTCTAGTCACCCTAGGCAAATCTCACCAAATCCCTTTCAATGCCCGCAGCTGGGAGCAGCACCTGCTCTTTCTTGCCATACAGTATACTGCAGACATCTTTTTAAGTCACTGTGGAAAGGCCTAGAATCATGCCCACGGCGTCTGCAGTGTTACGACAGAGATGCCGGGTTTGTCCAGCTTCCTGGCCGATAACTCCCACAGGCCTTGTTGTAACTTTGGGGCGCCGCAGGCCTCAGGATGTAGAGTGAATCTCTCTGTCCCTCTCCAGTCCTCCTTTTCCCTGCCCAAGGCAGGACTCTACTCTGACCCTCCACTGACAAAGGTCCCCGCCCCACACCTGAGAGGAAGGGCAGCTGCGCAGAGGCAGGGCGGACCTGAACAGACAGGCTGGCTGCTTTTGTCCCCTCCCCTATGTCTCTCCCAGCCCATCTCTCTATCTTGACCCATCACCATGTCTTTTATAATAAATCGGTAAATATATAAGTAAGTGTTTCCCTGAGTTCTGCAAGCCGGTCCAGTAAATTAATCAAACCCAAAGAGGGGGTCACGGGGGTCCCAATTTGAAGCCAGTTGGTGGGAAGTCCAGGAGCCCAGACTTGAGACTGGTGGGAAGGAGAGGCCGGTCTCGGGACTGAGCCATTGCCCGTGGGACCTGACGCTCTCTCCAGGTGGACAGTGTTGGAGCTGAAGTAGGAGACACTCAGCTGGTGTCTGCTGCGTGGTGTGCAAGGGGAAAACCCCACATCCGCTCACACTAGTCTTCTTCTGTGTTGAGTTGTGGAAGTTCAGAGGAAAGCAAGGTTTGAGAGGAGCGTTTTCCAAAGCCGCGTCTCCCCTGCTGGCCGTGTGGTGCTCCACCACCACCCTGGACCCCCCAGAACTCATTCTGTTCCTGTTCTGGGGACAGTGCTGCCAGGAACAGAGCAGGGTGCGGGTCACTGCAGCTCCATCTCCTGCCCCACGTCATACCCTCCCTGTGAACTCTCTGGCCTGGGACGCTAACATGTCATCTCCCAACAGGAAAAACGCTGGACACAGGAAAACGTGCCCACCTCTGTAACAAAGCCCTGGTCACTGTGCCCCTGCTTAGTTAGACAAACTGACCCTGTTAGTTTACCTCGTAAAAACAGCATTTGCCATTATGTAAAGGTTTGGGTTGGGCGGCACCTGTGGCTCAGTAGGGAGGGCACCAGCCCCATATACCAAGGCTGGCGGGTTGGAACCTGGCCCCGGGTCAGGTGTTGTGGCGGGTGCCTGTAGTCCCAGCTACTCGGGAGGATGAGGCAAGAGAATCACCTAAGCCCAGGAGCTGGACATTGCTGTGAGCTGTGACGCCACAGCACTGTACTGAGAGCGGTAAAGTGAGACTCTGTCTCTTAAAATTAAAAAAAAAAGGTTTGGGTTAAGTGCCAATCAAAATTTTCTTCCCCATAGTTAAATGATAAACTTCTGGAGAATTTGAAGATTTGCAGTTGAAATTTAAAACACAGATGCTCCATGACTTACACACATCCCAACAAACCCATTATAAGTCAAAAATATCATCAATTGAAATGCTTTTAATCCTGGCAACAGGGCAGATAGTCCACCACTTACGATGGTTTCATTTAGAATTTTTCAGTTTTACAATAGTGCAAAAGTAATACACATTTAGTAGAAACTGCAACTCCACTGCAAGTTATAAGGAGCCCCTCAACTTACAACGGGGCTGCTTCTGAGCAAAACCCGTCAAAGCTGAAAAATCCTAGCTCAAACCATCCTATGGCAGGGCTGTCTGTATTAGGCTATTTGTGGCTCGTTTAAAAAAAATACTTTAAGGCCGGGAGCAGTAGCTCACACTGTAATCTTAGCACTATGGGAGGCCAAGACAGATCACTTGAGACCAGGAATTGGAGACCAGCCTGAGCAACAGTGAGAACTTGTCTCTACTAAAATTAGATAAACTAGCTGTGCACCGTGGCAGGTATAGTCCCAGCTGCTCAGGAGGCTGAGGCGAGAGGATCACTAGTTTGACCCTAGCCTGGGCAACATAGCGAGACCTCATTTCAAAAGAAAATAGCCAGGCATGGTGGTTCATGCCTGTAATCCCAGCACTTGGGAGGCCAAGGGGGGGTGGATTGCCTGAGTGCATGGGTTCAAGACCACCCTGAGCCAGAGCGAGACCTCCATCTCTAAAAACAGCCAGGCACTATGGTGGGCGTCTGTAGTCCCAGCTACTCGAGAGGCTGAGGCAAGAGAATCACTTGAACCCACGAGTTTGAGGCTGCTGTGAACTATGACGCCACGACACTCTACCAAGGGCGACAAAGTGAGACTCTGTCTCAAAAAAAAAAAAAGAAAGAAAGAAAAAAAGAAAATACTTTTGGAAAAAAAAAAAAGAAAAGAAAGAAAATACTCTTACAATCCTGCTTGGACATTAACTTGATGTAACTGTAGGAGACTTACCACATGTATAAGACGGTCGCGTTCCTGGGTTATATTCTCTGCCAGGCCAATAAGGTTTGCCAAATACTGGTGAGCAGACATTTCGTTCCCCATGGCTTTTTCCACCTGCTTTTTGAGGACCTCAATTTTCTTCTGAGATCTCCTAGAGAATTCCCCCAAATGGTGGAATAAAAACTTATTAGCCTCCATGACTAGGTCATGTGAATATCTATATAAAAAAATAGCAAGTAAGTTAGCATTTAAGTGTTAATTCTTCAGCAACCTAAATCTTCTATTAAATTGCAAGGTGAGAAGAGGTAAGTGAATTTAATTTGAAACCAAGCATAATTACTGACTCCAAACCAAATTAACAGGAGTCATAAATCCCTAACAATAAATAGGCTAATTATTCTGTAACTTTCTGGCTCATGTGCTAGACAGAAGTTTCAAGATCCTTTCGAAAAAGGAATCCAGTAATCCTACAGCGACTTCTGGGGACACGATTAGGAGAAGCTTCTCGCACTTCAAGCCTCAGGGACATCATACAACTATCAGCCCTGTCTGAACCATCAACTTGAGAAGTGCTGGTCAGTGCTGGTCAGCCCAAGAGCTGTCCCTGCACTAACATCCTGAGATCTAGAAACTTCCATCACCCTTTTCCATTTTACAGCCACTATTAGAAAAAGAAGAGATAAAGGAGATGGAAGGAATATTCTTCGTCTGCCTTTTTTGAAGCTTGGAGGGGAAACAAACTCACCTATTTGTTTTCTGGGCCCTGGCGAGTTCAGCCTCCAGCGCTTGGTTCCTCACTGTCAGACTGTTCTTCTCTAAGACCAGGCTCTTTTTCTGCATTTGCAAGACCGTCAACTTCTCCGTCAACTCCTCCATCTCAGCACTTTGTTTCTCTTCTTCCTTCTGTAACCGGCTGAAGGACAAAAATGTCACAGGCACGTGCAGGGCACAGGCAGCGCCGCCAGACAAGTGGAGAGCTGCCCCTTCTGGGGAGGCCTCTGTGGAAACATCTGTCCACCCCAGGCCCCAGACGACAGGACGCAGGAGGGGGCTGGGCGCACACTTCTTTATAGCAATAACTTAAAACCTTTTTTTTTGGAGACAGAGTCTCACTCTGTCACCCTGAGTTGAGTGCTATGGTGTCACAGCTCACAGCAACCTCAAACTCTTGGGCGTAAGCCATCCTGCCTCAGCCTCCCCAGTAGCTGGGACTACGGGTGTCCACCACAATGTCTGGCCAGTTTTTCTATTTTTAGTAGAGATGGCGTCTCACTCTTGCTCAGTCTGGTCTCCAGCTCCTGAGCTTGAGCGATCCACCTGCCTTAGCCTCCCAGAGTGCCTGCCCCTAAACGCCTTTTTTCCCCACAGTTTTTGCTTATGTCTGTGTACATATACTTATTTGCACCCAATTCCTTCCAGAAAAATATCTAAGACCACTCAATCTTTTACACAGTTATAATTGCCAGGGAAAAGAATCCTAAAATGAATCTTACTTCACAGTAATTATAAGCCCATGTTTTTAAGGATCAAAGTGACAAAGAACAAAGGGGCACTTGTTTTGCTGCAGACAAACTTGACTGTTGTCAAATACTCCGAGTAACGGGGCCAGGACCTGTGTCCTTGCCGTGTTCTGCAGGAACATCTAACAGTGTATGATTTTAAGGTCAGCTTGCCACTGTCGCTTAAAAATATATAAAATCCAGAAGTCATTTCTTTGAGAACTAATTTACCTATTATTTTATTGGATAAATAGTTGACATGGATCAGTAATAAAGGGTTAAAGAAGAATGGTGAAAATACAAAGATGTCTGCTTCTAGCTGAGGTTCAGTTACAGAGACCAGATTTACCTTTCAGCTGGGAAACCACGCAGAATATAAAAGCAGCAGTTTCTCAGACTCTGGACAAAGGCTGTGCAGTACCATGACCCCTGGGAAGACGAGAAACCACCTGCTGCACCCTACGGCCTGGAGGAGGGAAAACCCGGATGGAAGTCACACACACTTAGCGGAGCCAGAGATCAAAGGTCAGGGGGTGGTGGCTTGGTGCCCGTAGCTCAGAGAGTAGGGCCCAGCCACATACACTGAGGCTGGCGGGTTCTGGCCTGGCCCGGGTCTGATTAACAACAATGACAACTGCAACACATAAAAAATAGCCGGGCGTTGTGGCAGGCACCTGTAGTCCCAGCTATTTGGGAGGCTGAGGCAAGAGAATCACCTACGCTCAAGAGTTTTGAGGTTGCTGTGAGCTGTGATGCCACAGCACTCTACTGAGGGTGAAAGAGTGAGATTCTGTTTCAAAAAAAAAAAAAAGGGATCAGGGTGATGGGGAGGGCGTTTCCCAGGGGAAAAGACTCTGGAGTGCTTTTGGGGGTCACTGCAAGTCTTTAGCCGAGTGCTGACCGGCACATGTGTGAGATGAAAGGGCCCCCGGCAGAGGGAAAACACTAGTGATGGGGACGCAGAACAATTCATGACATCAGTGCAGAACAGGAAACAGCACCTTAGCCCCAATGCCAGAGTAAAAAGACCTTCTGATGTAAGGGACGTCGGGTAGAACCCCCATGAGAGCATTACTGAAGGAGCAGTGGGGCTGAACTAGCCCTGCATTAAAGGCGTCAGCCTCCCCAACAAAAGCAAGCTTCAAAAGGAGCCCCCTGCTCTCTAGTAAGGTAAGTGTGCACCAGAACCAACTCCAACATTATCTAAAGCGGCGCAATAAACCTGGCACCCAGCAGCATGAAATCTATACTGCACAAAGTATGATCCATGATTTGGAGAAGAAAAATAATCAAAAGAACAGCTCAGACACAGGAGAGACAACGGCGCTGGCAAGGAATGGTTGGAACAGCTGCTATTAAGGCGCTGCGCAGGCTAAGAGAGGAGAGACAGGCGGAGGCCCTTTAATACAGTTCCTGTGGTTCACGACCCACAGGTTGAGAACTGCTGCTTTAGGTAAAAGAGATTACCGTAGTCAGGCATCCTCAAACTACAGTCCGCAGGCCACATGCGGCCCGCCTAGGACATTTATCCAGTCCACCGGGTATTTTTGCTGCCACTGCCTGTCCTGCTTAGCAGCCGACCTGTCCCAGGGCCTGCAGTCTGGCCCTCCAATGGTCTGAGGGACAGTGAACTGGCCCCCTGTTTAAAAAGTTTGAGGACTCCTGCTCTAAATAATGTGGTGGGCCTCATTCAGTGAAGCCCTTAAAAGCAAAAACGGGGCTCGGTGCCTGTGGCTCAAGTGGCTAAGGGGCCAGCCACATACACCTAAGGTGGCAGGTTTGAATCCAGCCGGGGCCCGCCAAACAAGAATGACGGCTGCAACCAAAAAATAAGCCAGGCATTGTGGCGGGCGCCTGTGGTCCCAGCTACTTGGGAGGCTGAGGCAGGAGACTCTCTTGAGCCCAGGAGTTGGAGGTTGCTGTGAGCTGTGATGCCACAGCATACTACTCAGGATGACAGCTTGAGGCTCTGTCTCAAAAAAAAAAAAAGCAAAAACAGGCTTCCCCAAAAAAGGATTTGAGCCTCAAGACTGAAACACAGAAAATCTGCCTGAGTTTCCAACTGGCTGGGATGTACTATGGATTTTGGACTTGCCGACCTCACAATTGTAAAAACTGATTTCCTAAAAAAAATGTATCTGTGTGTGTGTCTCTCTATACATATATATACACACATATATATTATCTTACTGGTTGTTTCTCTCAAGAACTTTGACTGATACGCTATTTTTACTTGCTAAAAATACTTTTTCTTTTTTGAGAGAGTGTCTCACTTTGTCGCTCTCCATAGAGTGCTGTAGTGTCACAGCTCACAGCAACCTCTAACTCTTGGGCTTAAGTGATTCTCTTGCCTTAGCCTCCTCAGCAGCTGGGACTACAGGTGCCCACCACAATGCCCGGCTATTTTTTGGTTTCAGTTGTCATTGTTGTTTAGCAGACCCTGGCCAGGCTTGAACCTACCAGTCTCTGTGTATGTGGCCGGTGCCCTACCCTCTGAGCTATAGACACTGCCCAGAGATATTTTCTATTAAAATATTTTCCCATTCTTCCTTTTTTTTTTTTTTATTGAATGGTAACTATGTACATTAATGCACTTCCACTCTTCCTTTTTTAATGTACCTATGGTATACATGTAATTTTATAAATAAACATAATGTAGAAACAGACACATATATGTAATTATATGAACACACGCCTGCGTATACACATACTAGAGTGATCACTATCCCAGTTTCCTGGGACTTGTCCAGTTTTAGTGCTAAAAGTCCCAGGTCCTGGGATCTCCTCAGTGTCAGGCTAACTGGAAGGGTTACCATAATATACACAC